CCCACATTCTAATTTCTTATAGAGTGCGTGCGCTTGGGCAGTAGCTAACCAATAAAACATTCCTATACTGCTGCTGACAATAAAGGTTAAAGGATACGGTGTTTAGAACCGTGTATTACCAATGTATATTTTTAAGCTTGAATGTATTAGTGTCAGTCAGAGTATTCCTAGACGCATGCACTGTGTAAGGACGGACTTAATCGTTAAACAAGAGAAAATAATTGACTGGTGGTTTAACTGTAGATAAATAGTATTGTAGTATCCCAGAGGCAGCTACGGTAGACGAGTACCCTGACAAAGCAATGTGATATTATATTTAAAGCTTTTGGGTTTGCAGCATATATTTTGAAGTTAAATAGCTAAAAATAAATTAGGCCAACTGAGCAAATATAGATTCCGTTTACGGAAAAATATGACTTTCCGGAGGCAGAGCAATGTTCCTTATTAGACAACTAAATACAACTTTATTCTTTTCTTTATTTATACCAAAATAGTCAGCCATTTTCTAGTGTGTCGACCGTTCCCTGTCCTTTAGCTTTGCAGCTAAACAGTTAACCGAAGGTGTGCAACAAGTACACACAAAAATAAATCCTGAAAAATTATATTTAAAGATTGCTAAACTGGCAATGGTTAACAATAAGGCAACAGATGAAAGCTAGTTAGCGAAGATGTAGACGTCTGCTGTGCGAGGACGGGTGTCATTCGCAGGCCACGTCCAAATAGTAGCTGAGCGGATGGGAGTGCGTTGTTTGTGTGAGTTAAACAACCTTACCCAACATTCAAACAAGCAAATGACCTAAATTCATGATACATAAAAAACTAAAAGTTTAGGCTATTTTATACTGTTACGCAGTCAAACAAGGAACCTCCAAGTCACTACAATCTTACTGCAACTCTTAAAGTAGCGTACTACTTGAGCAAAGGCAAATCTAAAAGCATCACAAAATGTAATGGACAGTGTTAAATAGAAACAACATGTTATAACCCTACATAAGATATCACTTTGCTCATACAAGCTTTAAGTTGTAAAGTAGTTCACATAACTTCTGGTTAATTCTATAGTGCTAGTTGTTTTGTATCACACAACAACACAATTTAATATAGTTGCCTAGAGAAGTGCATACAGTGGTCAATTTTATAGTTGGCAATTACCAAGACCTTGATAAAGAGCAACGGAGTATGACAAAAATGTAAAGTAGAACAATTTGTTTCAAATTCTTGAAAGATACATTGAACCGATCTAGTAGTAATGAGTTCAGGGAGGTTTGGAACAATTTGTCATACAAATGGTGAATGCAGAGAAGATGAGTACTTGTTTCACTACTGAATCACTGTTGCACAAAAAAGCAACGTAAAATTTTGCCAGAATTGACTGGGTCTACGCTCCCAGTCTACAAATAATTGCATTTTTGAACCATAGGCTATGAGCGCAATTTTCGTAGACACAACAAATTAACTCCGATCCTTTTACTTTCTTTATAAAATGAGATAACAGTGTTATAAGCTGAAAAGGTCCGCAAAGCATTGTTCACATTACAAGGTATATAATTATTTATAAAGCACTTAATAAAAACCACTGGCTTTACGCGTACAACATTTTAAAAATGCAGCGCTGCAGTAAAATGATATTGATTGCATATCTATCTCCAGCAGTTTGCTAAATGCAAATTGTTGGATTCTATAACGGATTACTTGTGCATCCAGCAAAGGTTATAATGGAAATTTATGACTAGGTTGGCAACCAGTTTCATGCGTAGTAAATGAGCCTAAAACATTATTCCTGCATTGCATGCCAAGTGACAGCACCTAGAAAGCATCTCTGCTGTGGTCAAAATGTAAACCTTCCAAAAGTGGTTTACTGCTAGTCTCTTATTGAGAAAAAAATAATGTGTAACCACCTTATAAACAACATACTAGCCGAAAAATAAATTTGTTATAAGTATATGTTTGTATGAATGTATAGATTGATCATGGTTTCTTTTATGATATGAGTATAAATATAAATGCAATGTTGGAAATGCAACCTACCCATTTGTGTGCATTTTTGGTCATTTGCAGAAATATGAAGGAGGAATGGAAAAAAATAGTGTAACATTTTTACACATATCATTATATACTACCATTCAAGACAGCAGCACAGGTCATCCAATGAACCGTGGGATGACGCAAACTGATCAAGTTGGATATCCTCGGCTGTCCCAGTAGGAAAAATTGTCACATATCAATTGCACAAAAGATTTGCAAACGTAGCCAAACGCCGCCAGTGATGCTTATTTTCACACTAAATAGATTTTTGATGTACGTACTCGGCAGATGCAATCAGGGGAAACACAATTACGGCATATGTTAAACGACGCTGAAAATTGTTTCTTCGTGACCGAAATTCGTTAATGTGGTGTCCTAGCTGAATAGCTGTGGACACGTAAACTATCCCTCAGTGCGCTTAAACAGTCACTCCAGTACACAGTATAGTCAATAGTGTAAAGTGAATTAACGTCTTCACATGACCGTCAACAACAAACGATCTAAGCAGTCTCGCGTACTGAAGAAAAAATTGTTTTATATATTGAAATTATGCAAACAGAAACTCACTGTGTTACAAAGCAGGAAAATAGATTTCTTAAAACGCAGACCAAAAAGTAAAATTAACACACGTCGTTTATATGGTTATTCACAAATTTAAGAACAGCCAATTATCCTATGTCCGTACTGGAAATATCCTTATCATAATGGGAGTTTGTTCCCTTTTTGTACAGATAATTTTGCATCTTATTGTTCTAGATTTGTATTTTGTCTACAGTTAATGGCAGCATTTAAAAATTCGTAAAGCAGCACTGTGGGTACTGTTTTTTGGCCAGCTGTGACCTCCAAAGAAACTTACATCTGAAGATCCTCATTATGCCGAACCCAACTTGTGAAATATGCGGATACAACTGACGCTGTAGATGAGATAACTACAATCAGGTGTGTTTCTCCCTCACCGGCTGTCCAACGCGACAGTGCTTTCAGTTGCAATTAGAAACAAAATTAAGGTGGGACTAGAAGGATACTAGACTGGTATGCGAGGTAGGTAACCAAAGCAAACGGTGCTGGAGAATAACGCACTAAAAGGAAAGACTTTTTGGTCTAAATACACTGCTTCTATCCTCATATTATTTACACCTTGCTGCCAATATCCGCCAGAACAGTGTTAATAAGCGCATTCATAAGCTGCTATTTGCTTTAAGTCCTCCGCCTAAGCAAACTGACGTCACAAAGATGTAAAGCGCACAGCAGTTTAATGAATCCAGTGTGATATTTGTCAAAAGTTGAAATACTTCGGAATTCAAATGCTCCTTCCTTGTCTTACCGGCCAATATTTAGGTGAAGCTCCCCTCAGCTTTTGTGCGACCCCACTTAGAATATGGTACCCAGGATTGTTTGCCATATCTTGGAAGAGACACGTTTGAACTGGAGCGTGTTTTGCGGGTGGATACAAGGTTAGTGAAAGGCTTACGGGGGCAAACCTATGTGCTCAGTACACTATCGGAGAATTATAGGAGGCTTGGTTTTGACTTACAGCACTCTAACGCGTAAGATCGGTCCAGACTTGTCCTGGCTAGTTAGCCCCGCCTAGTTGCCTAGTCACCTAGGTCAACCGTTGAAGCTGCACAAACTGCGTTCAGGCCAGGCAAAGATGCAAAATCGTTTAACGCACCGGAGAACTTCCTAAGGGAGTCTAGGGCAGAGGGTTCCGAGCGTCAGTTAGTTACACTTGAATGGCCTTACCAAACCTTCCTCCATTCCTACTCGACGTGTATCTTTAACTTACTGTTCGCATTTTTCTATTTTTCATATAATGGTATTACCATTGTTTAGCTTACATTCCCCTTCGTGTTTTCTTAGCTTCTCTTTCATTCCTTCTTACTTCAAATATGTAACAGTCTGAAGATTCCCTAGTTCGTTCGTGTAAAGCATTAACTGAAATTGTTTCATTGTACATATAGGCGCCCGGTGTGGTATGTTGATTACTGAGTTTGAAGGCTTGACTTGATCATGGCCATTTTGCTTAGCGTTCGTTTCGGTTGAAACGCGCGACTGCCCTGTCTGCTGCGCATCCTCCGTTTCCCTAACTGAAGCCTCAAAGATGTCACTTTTTTTAACTAGGAACACGAAAGCTCTTACTCTACCAATAAAAGTTTCCCTGCAACTCGATCCGTCTTTTCGAATCGCTCTCCGGGCTCCGGCTGCAGGCTACTCGCTAAACATAAACCGACCTGGTAGGGACTACTCTACAAAAATATGTGGACAGTAATTGGTTGGGCAGGGTGCGGTGCAGTGTTTTTTAGACAGCTCAATATCTAAAGCAGCCCTATTAATTTCATATCCAAAGATATGCAAAAGAAGTAACATGTACTGAATGATCCTATCGTTCTTGTCCTAAAGGAAGTTGCAGTTGAAGTTCACCTTGTTTGTAAGTCACATAAACTGTCTACATGAATTCATTTGAAAACCCCAAGAAAGTAATAGCTGTTGCATTTTCTCTCTTGGTTACCCATTCAATAGCGTTGAGTTTAAAAAGCTACCAAAGCTAATTATAGCAGGAAGTTGAAGGCATACGCTCATAGAACACTAAAGTTAATATAATGCGTACATATTCAGAGAGAAAGAAAGATAAAGCAAGGAATTCTGCGATGATTACGAACACGAAAGTGAAAACCTTTAACCTATTTCTATCTGTCCGTTCATTTTAGCAACCATGCAAATCGTTTGCATAAAAGGATAATCAAAAGACGAACTAAAATTACGCAATTATTACTAATTTTAAGCAGGTAGATCTTATAAAACTGACACCCGAGGAAACTAGTAAAAACGGGACAGTTAATAACTATAAGATACAAGCCGCGAGATAGGACAAAACATGCGAATTTCTTTCAATACGCGTCACTTATTATGCTCAATAAACGTTAAACCAAACAAAGAAGTTAATAAAAACTATTGCCTAAAAATATAGAACCTACTTGTGCTAAGTATAGTCCAAAAATGGGAATGTACTTCAAATTTTTGTGGAGAATAAATTTACACCGTCCCATATTTCCTTGACGGGCTGTTAACATGCAGCAAATAAACCAATCAGCTGTAAACTTGTTAGAGCAATTTAGCTTGAAGTAATATACCGGTTGAGAGATGATTAGATATGTACAACACCTTTTCCTTTTTGCTCTCCAAATAACTGACGTCGCCATATACATAAAACTTTTTATCTAGGCTGCTATTATTTCTCATACTTTTTTCAGTGAGATGTATTCGAAGAAAAGCAAAAATGCTTTCATATACGTGGCAAAAAGCCACTCGTTAAGGATGTGGTAATGTGCTTTTGAATTAAAGGTTGAAATCTTGATTAACGTCCAAATCAAAATCACTAGCGGTGACAATAGGCCCACCACGGTATTGAGCAAGCAATTCCTGAGTCCCATCGCGGTAAATAAGGACACGTTTGATAGTGTAACAATGTAAATTAAAACGCACCTACAGGATTTAAGAAATAATTCATGCATTAAAATATGTGTTAAACATTATTAACTACCTTATGAAATCGAATAGAGAGCATAACGCAGTATGGTTTTGCGCTGGGCTGGTTTAATCTTGTCATCCTACTCAAGCGTCTGTAGGTTATTGCATTAATAGGGCTAGTTAAAAGGAGTCCGCTAAGTCCGAAAAGCTGTTTATTCTTATGAGCCGTTTAACCGCAGTATTTAAAATTACCTAGTAACACAATTTGGTATGTCAATTTTTTAACTTGCGTCCGGTCGAGGGTTCCGAGTTTCTCCATGTACTTCACGTATAATCAATCGTAAGCAACCGGTGGGGCTGGAAGTCAAGACAAAGATTTGGTAGGCGGTTGGATAATGCTATCACAACTACCTAGTAAGAACGGGCTAAGTATGAAATGTCTTCAGCGCTGGCTGACGAGCAGGCAGCGCGAGAGAAGCGCGACCGGTTAAGACCGGGAAGTAAGGGGATAAACAATAACGTGCCCAGTTTCATATATAGCTGGTACCGTCCTTGAACCCTGAAATTGAGTACCTTCAAGAGTCTACTAACGGAAGTATCTAACAGTCGTTCAAATGGCGCTGTATGCGAACTGTTGTAGATCTGCTACAAAATCCCCATTCTTAACAGGCGCTCTCCTCCTCGTTACTAACACCCTTTGCCGACTTTAGCCTGTTGACGTGGACAGCAGTCGATGAACCTGGTACGCCAGGCTTCATGATTCTGTGCGCTATGTCACATAGTACGTCCTCAACGATGTATGGGCCCTCCTATCGATGTTGGAGTTTAGCAGGGAGGCCAGTTGGGATTACTATTGCCTTGAGCCAAACGGTGCCGGTAGTAGAGTGTCTGACGGCAGGCGAAGTTTGCGCCCTGACATTATTAGGTACGGTATTTGGTCCGCCGACGAATGCACGGAGGCTCGAGAGGCCAGCAAACCTCGAGATAAATTTGCGGCCTACTTCCGAGGTACCTTACTGTTCAGGAAGGACTTCAGTAGCGCCTTCAGTGTACGGTTTGTGTGCTCAACTGGTCCATTCCATTCCGGGTGGTATGCGGTAGTCCGGATTTGTCATATACGTTCCTATTCCAGAACTCACTCATGGGCGTTCCTTTGTAGTTCACCCTACGATCGGAGTGCAACTGGTAGGATAAACGACACCTCACAACGCCTTGCTACCCTGGCGTTGAACAAAGCTTTCGCTACGCTCCAAGCTTCCGTATTTTCCAGGGGAAGGCTTTACAGCGCGTGGCGTAGCGGTCCACTATAACCTAAATGCGACGACTCCCCTAGCTGTCTCTGTTAGGGGACCGATGTTGAAGCCTACCATCTCGTTCAGAAACTCCACTGTCATGCGATGTAGAGGCCCAGCGCGAGTAGTTGGCTGGTCCGTTCCATGCACAGTCGGTACATGACTAGCAATAGATCGCAACATCGCGTCTTAATTTGGCAACTAAAACCGACTACGAATTGCTTCTTCTATCTTATTTTGTCCAGCATCCTCTTGAGCTCTGTGTATCCTTTGCATTGCTTCCTGAGTTGCAGCAGTAGGGATAAATAGATTCTGCAGTAGGCCGGGCCGTTTTGGAAGTATATAATGCCATCCAACACCAGTAAGTGAGGCCAGCGTGACCAAAGACATTTGGTTTCCCAGTTTGCACCGGCATGCTCTTGACTTGTGGGTTTGTCCTCACCTAGAGAGCTGAGACTGTGCAGCAGGCTCAACGCTGGGTAGGTTGACAGATTTTGGGCCTATTCATTGGGCTCTCGGGCATCGAGTATGACGGTGGATATGCATTGTGTCTTGCTTGAAGCGCACGGCCCGTGCTTTTTGATATGCCTAAGCAATAACGCATCCGCAGTCGTATGCTTTACGCCCGAGTTGTGCTAATGTTCGAAATGGTACCCTTGTAGCTGCCCTTGCCAGCTCGCCGTCTACCCTTCGGGGTCACGAAAGTTCTGCAACCAGCTTAAAGACTAGCCTTCCCTTCCTACTATAAACTTGCGACCTAACTGATGGTCCCGGAACAGCTAAAGATTATACACCAAAGCTAGCAGTTCGTTCCGCTTTGTGCAGTTATTTCGCTCTCGCCCGGATGGACTTCTATTAGTATACGCGTTGACAGGTTCTGTACGTTCCGGTGTGCGTTGTGACAGAAGGGTACCTATGCCAGCATCGCTGGCTCCCGCATCTAGGATTAAGGTGCCTGAGGATGGTAACGCATCCGGAAATTTCAACACTGTGGCCTCGCGTATAACGGTACGTAGATTATCAAAAAATCACTGATGAGCTGCTTCCAAGAAAATGCCTTAGCTGTCATTAAAAGCCCATTCAGCGGAACCGCGGCGGACGTGAAGCCACGGAAGAATCGCTGGTAGCATGAAGCGTTGCGGAGTAACTGCGCAATTTGTCAGTGTTTTCTGGGACACGAACGTTCGCGCTGCACTTTCGCCAGGTAGCAAAACACTCCATTTTTATGTTATAACGTGACGCAGGTATACCACTTGGTTTTTTTAAAAATGCACTTAAAGGCTTTAGTTTTAGCCCCATCTACGCAAGCCGAGCCAAAACAAGTGTGGGGCTTTGGTTGTGCTCCTCTTTTTGCTTATCATGAACAATAACCTCGTCCAGGTAGACCAGACAGGGTTGGGGTGTGTACTCAGAGAGTGTTGTTTGCCTCAAGCGTTGAAAAGTGTCCGGAGTGTTAGGTTACCAGAAAGGCATCGGCTGTACTTCGTGCAGGCCAGGTGGGAAAATAATTGCGGAAGTGCAGTGATAGTTTGTGTTCAGCTCGACTTGTCAACCGTTCGAAGCTAAGGCCAGGGTAGTAAACCAGCGTGACCCGGGGAGAGCGTTCATGTTATCGTGCAACCGTGTCAATGGAAACGGGTCCTTACATGTGGCTGCCTTCAGCTTTCATTAGTCAACACAGAGACACAACTCTACGCTCCTCTTTTGCACCAGGACAATAAAGGTGCATAAGGCGATTTGGACGACCGGATGATTTGCGTTTTAACATATCCTCGACAATGCACCACAAGCTTCCTTGGAGGTGCTCCGGTACATGCCTTGCCGTTTGGCGATTTGGTGGCGCTTTTCCGGAGTCAATGCTGCGCTGCTCCAAGTAACACCGACTACCATCATATTTGGACCAAGCAAACTCATGTTGGTATCTGTCTAACATGCATTTTAAGCCACTGCGGGCAAGAGTCGGAGCTTCTGCAAGATAGTTATGTTTAAACTTCCGTTTCGGAACCTTTTACTGTGCATGGCATCATCGGGTGGCCATACGAGCCAAACAGAATTAATTGTGCTGTAATCTCAAAAGTTTAGCTGGCTAAATCAATTTTAGCATTGAACTGAGAACGAAAATCTATGCCTTGTACGACGTCCTAAGGAAGGTTCTCGGTTACGAAACCATGATGAGTGGCTACAGTCCTTCCTAGCCTGCTGGTTGACTTGGTCCAGCCGGCTGTTTTGTTGAGAGTTCCATTGTCTGCGATAAGGCTGAGCGATTTATTTTGCAGGATGATTGCGTCCCTTGGGACTATTCTCTTACGGATTAAAGAACACGTTGTGCTGGTATCCAGTAAAACGTTTTCCGTAGAGCCCAGCAGAAACCAGTAGAGTAAACGCCGGAAACAGCTGGCAAATTAAACGAGCAAACGTAGGACCTACCTCGTCGATTGTGTTCGCTAGTGTACGCAGCATTTACAAACCGCCGGCATTAATAGAAACTGCTGCTTGGCTGCTTTTTGGGGTCGTGCTCGGGACGTCCAGGATCATTCGGTTCGACTAGTTGTCGCCGAAACCCAGGTCGGCTGCTCAGTCTTGGTGTGTCCTGGTTTCGCACAGTGGCAACCTGTCATCGAGGCCTATAGTACGCTTGCGGGCCTTCGCACTAGAGAAAACTAATGATTAGTTCTCGACGGGCAGCCGAGCTCAACGCATCCTGTATTCCGGCGGGCTGCTGCTCCAATAGCTCAGTTAGTGGGTCGCGGTCTTCTGTTCCCAGCATGACTAGCTGCAACACACTTTCGTCCCGGGTTCGATTGTTTTCTTCCTCATAACAGCGCAATACCAGTCTAGGTAATACCAGGATAAAGCAGGGAAATCCCTCTCACAGCATTTGGTGACGGCCGTGAAAATATCAGCGGTGCTCATGTAGGTCTAAGGAAGATGACAGCATCGACCGTAGTAGGTTGAAGTTTGGGTAGTCGATGGCGGCACATGCTTCCGCGAATGAAGAAGAGGAATCATATGCTTCATCGGCTAGGATGCTTAAAAGAGCGGATGCTCCTCCTCCACAGGAAAGTGCTGGACATACAAGCGGGTCTGTAGTTTCCATTGGGCGTAATTGCTACTGAGGTGGAAAACCTGAGAAAGCGGTGGTGTGGGGCCGCTGGTAAGTTAACTTGTCCTGCTAAGACAGCGGTAATTCACGTCCCTGGAATGGACGGGTCCAATCGCACAAAGAAAGACGGTTGGTGCAAAGCCTCGCCAGCAACGTTGTTCGTGACACTTCCGGTGGCGGAGCAGAATTTTACTTTGTTCTTCATAACAGTACTGAAACTAAACATAATTGCAAAAGTAACAATGAGGTTAGGCGAGACCAGAAGAAAACGATAGAGAAACCGTTCCGGAAACTGGCAGGGTCGTGAACTATGCATTATGCGTACGGTCAAGTGTTCCGAGTACCATCACGTGTGTCGCGGATATTTTGTCGTAAGCAACTGGGGGCTGAAAGGAAACACAAGGACTTCGTAGGCGGTTGGATAAAGATATCTGAACCAGGTAGTAAGAACCGGATCAGTATGAGGACGTATTTAGCGCTAAGTGACGAGCAGATAGCGCGAGCAGCACGACAGAAGAACGGTAAATTACAAACTCAATGCCCCGCGGCTAAGATTAGGAAGTAGAATGATATGCAATAACATGCCGGCGT